CAATTTTCTTTGTGTATCGAATTTTGAGCTATTTAAGAGACATTTTATTTGTATACTTTTGGTTTAACATAAAACTCTTTAGGAACAAAACATTTCCTATTGTTTTCAAATGCCTGACATACAAATAGGTAGAACAAGTCCCACATTAATTCTGGAAAACCATTTGTTCAGAAACTCCCCGCGCTGTGGCCAGTCTCACTATATTAAGGTATTTACAAAATCCAACATGCTGTTACATTTGTACATACCAGGGAAGCAGAAATGAAGAAAGACTCAAAATTTAAACAGTGGCCCATGAGCGAGAATACTTTCATTTGCTGAAATTTCATGATTTTGTTGTTTTGCAAATATAAGGTCACTTTCTCTACAGAAGCGTAGAAACAGCAGCTTAGTAACGTTCACGTAGTAGCGTAGTAACGAATATGTCTAACATTGTATCATGTGTGCGCTGTTATAGCAACCGTTTTAACATTTAATACCGAATCACTGATATCATAAGCTCTTACCATGATGCCAGTATGATGCCAATTACATTTGTCATGAAATTAATTAAATTTATTTTATGAAAGAGGTTTTTTCGGTTTTATTTTATTCTTTCGTTTTAATGCTTCAGGTTATCTAATGATGACGCGAAGACAAACATTTTGCCATTGAAGATGGAAGTTGGTTACAACCTGATACATATAGGGGATAACGACTGAAATATTTCCACAGTCGAATAAAAACATGTATAAAGAAGCAAGGTCAGAGTTCCAAGTTCATATGATCACGACCCGTGAAGATCCGGGGTAGAATAGGTCTTCACCATCCCATGCTTGTTGTAAATGCGACTATGCTTGTCGTAAAAGGCGACTAACGGGATCGGGTGGTCAGGATCGCTGACTTGTTTTATGCATCTCATCGTATCCCAATTGCTTGGATCGATGCTCATGATGTCACTCACTGGATTGTCTGGTCCAGACTCGATTATTTACCGACCTCCGTCATATAACTGGAATATTGCTGAGTGCGGCGTTAAACAACAAACCAAACAAAAGAAATCATATGGACACGATATAAACTGAGTAGCAAAAGAAAGTGCACAACGTGTGCGACATACGCATAATGCCGGAAAGCGCACAACGTGTGCGACATATGCATAATGCCGGAAAGCGCACAACGTGTGCGACATTCGCATAATGCCGGAAAGCGCACAACGTGTGCGACATACGCATAATGCCGGAAAGTGCACGTTAATAGTAAGTACGAAAGTACAACGAGTTTGTCTTTGATGAAATTGAAAATTTAAAGAATTTCGTTTACAAATCTATTAAAAGCACACACATAGCAACATTAGAAAACAACCTTTAGAATAAACAAACTTGTTCTTGTTACTATCAATCTAGTCAAACAGGTTATCTTCAACAAACAGCATCCCCATTGTCAACGCACCATTCACCACATTCAGGCAATCAGTTCAGCATTAAATGGCCCCGACCTGTCTGTGTTCAGATGGGCGGGCTAACCACGAAGCAAGCAGCGGCTGACTGTGTCCATGTAATTCCCCGGCACCCTATGATAAATGTTGGACAGCACACCTGATATGTTATACGTATATTTGATGAAAACTTACACATTTTTATAGGGGATCCTTTCCATATTTTCCGGCGGATCCCATCAATTTATATAAAATTCGCAAATAAACCAGAGAAGAAAGATTTTGTTTCAACTGCCAGAGTGAATGAATATGGTCTTACGCCATTTCCAGCAATATTCGAACAAGACCACTGCGGGGGACACCAGAAATAAGCCTTACTCATTTTAACTATCAGAGCATAATTATGGCGTAATTGTAACTAAAAAAGGTGTTTTGTAATGATAAAACGAGGGAGGGAGAGAAGGAGAGGGAGGGGGAAAGGGAGAGGGAGAGAGAGAAGGAAAGGGAGAGGGGGAGGGAGAGAGAAGGAGAGGGAGGGAGAGAGAGAGAAGGAAAGGGAGAGGGGAGGAAGGGAGAGAGAAGTAGAGGGAGGGAGTGAGAGAAGGATAGGGGTAGGGGAAGTAGAGGGAGAGGGAGGGAGGGAGAGAGAAGGAGAGGGAGGGAGAGAGAGAAGGATAGGGTGAGGGAGGGGGGAAGTAGAGGGAGAGGGAGGGAGAGAGAGAAGGTAGAGAGAGAGAAGGAAAGGGAGAGGGGAGGAACGGAGAGAGAAGTAGAGGGAGGGAGTGAGAGAAGGATAGGGGTAGGGGAAGTAGAGGGAGAGGGAGGGAGGGAGAGAGAAGGAGAGGAGAGAGAGAAGGAGAGGGAGGGAGAGAGAAGGAGAGGGAGGAGAGAGAAGGACAGGGAGGGGGAAGTAGAGGGAGATGGAGGGAGGGAGAGAGAGAGAGAGAGAAGGAGAAGGAGAGAGAGGGAGAGTGGGAAGGAGAGGGAGAGAGAAAAGGAGAGAGGGAGAGTGGGAAGGAGAGGGAGAGAGAGAAGGAGAGAGAGGGAGAGAAGGGGAGGGAGAGTGGGAGGGAAGGAGATAGGCGGTATTATGAACGCTACTCTTTTCTCTTTCTCTTCAGACAGAGACTGTTTGTATACAAAGACATGGTAGTGCTCACGCACCGTAACAAAAGTAATGACTGCTGTCAGACGAGTTACAAAAAGATAATTTTGAATGTCATCGTTACATGTAGTTAAGCACAGTTGAACACGTGGCATTGTCCTACTTTTCGGATTGACGAGGTCGTCGCGCGCCGGTAAGAACATGCAACCACACGAGGGAAAATATCTCCCTTTCCCCGGTCAGGGGATGAAAGAAACATGTTCTTTCACAAAACACATGGAATATCGTATTTGTTATATACTTTTTGTGAAATGATCTATGGGACATTATATTATTTCATTACAAATGTAAAACCTTGAAACGTCATTTCTCCCTTCCTAACGCACAGGACGGTTCGCCATCCCTTGTATTTGCAGCTAAAAACGTATTTTCATGTTCGTAAAATCTTGAAAAATACAAGCAAAAGTAAAAAAAAAGTATTTAGGGTCCCGAGATCTCCGTTGGAAGCGAAAGAATACACGCTGGTCAAGTAACAAAAATGGCGCTTTGCGAAACGAACAGTCTCAATTAAAAGTTAAAATAGAAATTTACAGTTTATAACGAACCATTTTCGAGAGAATAACAGATGGAATGAAGCGCTATTAAATCCATAAATCATCATCTGTCATTTTGTTTCCTTGTCAATGTGGAACTAACGTAAACAGGAAGTCAATAGTTTGTGTTCGGGTCAGACACTTACGATAAAGGGAGACAATTTGAGGGGAGATAACTCTTGTGTGACAATAGTTCTCTCAAAGTGTTCTTTTCACAGCAGTGAAATATTGCAAGGAAAACATCACTTTTTTCAAACTTCGGAAAACTCAGTCTTTCACATTAAAGTATAATAAATAAAGTTACCGTCATATTGTCATATAGTCACTCCGATACGAACTCACACTGAAATTACTGTGTGACTGTGGAATGAGTGGGTTTGTGAGGATATGACTGAATTAATTGGGCCTATTTGCACAAAGCGATCTTAGCACTAAGATGATCGTAACTTCCATACTTTGACATAGGATCACAATAGTCGTAGCGCTAAGATCGCATTGTGCAAGTGGACCCAGAACTGTATATATAGTAAACTACGGTTATAACGAACTCAAAGGAACTACTAATTTTAGTTCGTTATAACCGTAGTTCGTTATAAGTACATATACAGCATGACTACAGCAAGTAGTCGGGACCAAAATGTAAGTTCGTTATATCCGTCAGTTCGTTATAAGCGTGTTCGTTATAACCGTAGTTTATTGTATCTGCTTTTAGTTATAACAAATAAATACATATGGAATATAGTGTAATACAGTGGATTCCTAACATACATTTTCAAAATGAAACCATAAATTTATTTCAAAATTTCCACAATTTTGTTTGTGTATCGAATTTTGAGCTATTAAAGATATATTTTATTTGTATACATTTGGTTTAACATAAAACTCTTCATGAACAAAACATTTCCGATTGTTTTCAAATGCTTGGTATCCAAATAGGTAGAACACGTCCCATAATAATTCTGGAAAACCATTTGTTCAGAAACTCCCCGTTAAAAACGGCGTTAAACCCAACTCTCTCACTATCAATGTCACCACGTGCAAGTAGCGCTGTGAAACGTTTTACCCAAAAATTAAAAACAGTGGTTGATCACTTGAAAAGGTTACATAAAACTTTACGTTTGGGCAACAGGGATTGTAGTCTACGCCAAAGCGCACAATTCCTTCTTGTTAATAAAAAACACGAAGACCATCCCATGCTCATTGTAGTAAAAGACATATTAAGTTTACCTGGGTGCCGTTGTACAAAGCGATCTTAGCCCTTAGGTGATCGTAACTCTCATACCTTAACATAGACTTACGACTGTCGTAGCGATAAGGTTGTTCTGTACAACGGCACCCTGCTCATCAATCACGAGGCGTGGTTGGATTATACCTATCACCCTAAGTTCGTCCCGCTCACCAACAGCGAAACGAAGACAAAGAAGAAAAGTTTATTCTCCTAAATCACAGGTAGTTTCACAGAGAATATTCAGCGCTTTATGGATCAGATGTTTGATAAATCATTTACGATTAACTAATACCGTAATATATTCATACCTACATCGGCCTCCTCTGATATGTGTAGCTAGTTGTAACATAATTGGCTTGTAAATACATTGTATTAGGAAATATTTTTTCTTGAGTTGAATATTTACAGAAATATTGAGGTAACATGAGATTTCTTAAGTGACAAAGACTTGGGCATTCCAACAGAAAGTGATACTCGCCGCCCACAGCTGAATAACATAATGTACACGTTCGTTTAGCATGGTCAGGTTTATGCCACCTCTCGGTTTCTACCGGTAAACTATGGTTAGATAGTCGAAAACGTGTGAACCATGCTGTTTGTTTATTTGGCAGAATAAGTAGGTATCATAGTACTGACCTTTTCATGAATTATTTACAGATGCGTTCCATTGTTGAGGAAGCTGGTGAAAAAGCACACGTTTAATAGACGGCTTTAACTGATATTATCAGGTACGTGTTGGGAAGTCCAGACGTAAGGGAAACCGGTGTCACATAAACTATCTTTGATAGTGCTTAGAGGTGATACCTGAGGGAGGATAACTTATATGACAAGCGACCAGGCTTTAGCAACATTTTATTTCATAATAAGATCATTCTAACTTTAACAATAATTGCTTTGGTGATATCTGCAAAGTTCATCGTATACAACATAATAAGGGTTGAAGAGTTTAACATTCAGTATATAAATTTATTTACAAAATTTAATGTGCAAGCATTCTGTCAGTTTTTTTTCAAACCCCCAAACGTCCGAGTCATACTGTAACATCGGTTGTACAGGCTGATCAAATAGCTTTAATTGGCAATGAAAAAGTACTTCTAACATTCGGACCTTTTGTCATACTGCATACATTGCTCTGGAGGCTTGGCCAAGAAGCCGCCTTATGCCTTTACAAAAACGACCATTCTTGCTGAACAGTGTACATGTACCTGGGTAGAAATACTCCATTACCACATCAATACATGTATCTTCAAATTTCCCTTGAGAAAACTACAATTTTAGATTTGGAGACATTTACCTTAAGTTTCCACATTCTACAATATTCAGAGAAAATTGTTCATGCATCTTGAAGATCGTCCGCTGATTCATCAAATATAACAGTCTCGTCAACATATAACAGAATAATAAGTTTAATATTAATAATTATTTCAATTAGGTCATAAGAAATATTTTCTACTGAATTAAGGCCATCAAAGTAACGTTCAATGAAAAAAATAAAAGACTCTAAGCCGTTTAGATACAGCGCAAATAGAAAAGGTGATACGTTTTCAACTTGTCGTACTCCAATATTGCAATATATAAAGTGCCGTTATTTTCGACACAGGATTTAATATTTCGATATTTAAATCCAAAGACCATTTCTCCAAACTGAATCGAAAGCTTTACTAAAATCAATAAAGGCAGTGAACAGTTTCCTTTTCAAATGTTGAAAAATATCAGTTGGAGACTTTAGTACACATATATTGTCTATTGTGGAATATGATTTACGAAATCCAGCTTGGCCTCTCCCTATCAAGTGTGTATGATCAGAGAATTTCTGCAGACGCTTGGAGAAAATATTATTGTCGTGAAAAGCTTACCTACGCAGCTAGCAATAGAAATGCCTCTGTAAGTTTCAGGATAGACTTGGGTGCCCTTGTTCTTAAAGATAGGTCTTATATACCAATCAGAGCAGACTTGTGGGAAAACTCCATGATCTAAATAAGGTTAAATAGCTAAACATAAGCTGGCATCATTACGTAAATGGAGGCTTTGATGTATTTATTACTTACATTGTCTAAACCGCAGGCTTTGTTATTTTTGAGATCTTGAACACATGACATAATCTTCTCGATTAACACGTCAATCTAACATATCAACTGGCTGTGCATCAAGCACATCTACATGTGATTTATCAACAATGCTATTTCTACAATAAACTACGGTTATAACGAACTCAAAGGGACCCCTTATTTTAGTTCGTAATGACCGTAGTTCGTTATAAGCGTATACACAACGCATATACAACAAATAGGCGGGACCAAAATATACAGTTCGTTATAACCGTCAGTTCGTTATAAGCGTGTTCGTTATAGCCGTAGTGTACTGTATTTAGATTACTGAACTGACTAAACAATGCATCTATGTCCATAGGACAGTTTTTACATTCATTTTTCCCAAATGATTTAATGATGCCTCAACTTGTTGTACGTGTGTCTTTACTTTTTGCTTCACGCAGCTGCTGGGCACATGTTGTGTTCTGTACATACTATGCCGGTTTGATACTTCTACTGTAATGCCTACGTGCACATAGACAGACAGACAGACAGACAGACAATAGTTTATTAACGTCTCACTCCTGTACATACATAAAACAGCTTTGTACAACTTGACATAGATAAAATGTACAGAACCATTCAATAGAATTATGAGAGACGAATTATCACAGAATTTATACATAAATGATATAAAGATGACATCCATATAAAAGATGTTTTCTACGATTAAGAATTAAAAAGCAGACTTTGGCAAGTATAAAACACACACTGGAGTCACTGAAAATTAAACAGAGTTTGTCGATATCAGGTATATCTAAAACATTATAAGATTTAGCAATACATTCATTAAAAAGAGTTGCCCTGATATCGTCATATAATACGCAGTGAAACAAAACATGGACCTCGTCTTCTACGCTGTCATTACAGTGAAAACATTTTCTATTGTTGACGGGTACACCTTCGTACCGACCGGTTTCCACTCGAATAGGAGCCACACCACATCTAATCTTGGCTAGTGCCGATCTATAGTTTCTGGGCATCTTATTTGAAACATAGTATTCTGTCCCATATACTTGTTTGTAACATTGATACATTCTCAATTTATTAAGCCCATTTCGCCCCTCTTCCTTTCGTAACATATCACTCGAACGGGTAACATATTCATTCATACACCATTGTTCCACCTGTGTACAAACAGAAAATTTATCAATAAAACCTGTAGCGTTTAATAGATGTCCTAAATCCATATTAGTAAACTTCTTTCTTACCCTACCATTCCATTTTTTACAACCATATACAGCGTATCTATCAGCCCAGTTAAACACGTGTTTGTTTAACCTGCTAGACATATTCTTAAGGCGACACCATTGTCTTGCTACACTTTTCCACTGTCTGACAACAGGCTGTATCCATCCCATGTCCCCATTTATAGCGACGTTAGGGGCGTATTTGCCGAGTCCCAAATAAATTGTAATGGCTCTATGGTGTACAGCATTTATCACATAGGAGCATTTGCGTTTCTGGTTGGCCCTTGCGTAATCCAAATATTTTCTTGCGCCAATGATAATGTTTTCGGGCCGATTTACAAGTCCTATTAAACCAGTTCAAAGGTATTTAGAGATGCGGAGACTAGCTTATTTCCAATTATTTGTAATTCTATTTATACATTCTTTCACGTTCGTGTCATCTAGAGTTTCAATAAGTTCACATATCTCCATGGCGATATCACTGTCAAATGTTCAGAAAAGTCTTCCCTTGATTTCAATCCGGGGTAGAATAGGTCTTCAGCAACCCATGCTTGTCGTAAAAAGGCGAATATGCTTGCAGTAAAAGGCGACTAACCGAATCGGGTAGTCAGGCTCGCTGACTTGGTTGATGCATGTCATCGATCCCAATTACGTGGATCGATGCTCATGATGTGAATCATTGGATTGTCTGGTCCCGACTCGATTATTTACAGACCGCCGTCATAAAGCTGTAATATTGCTAAATGCGGCGTTAAACAACAACAAACCAACCAACCATGATGTGAATCACTGGATTGTCTGGTCCATACTCTATTATTTACAGACCGCTGTCATAGAGCTGGAATATTGCTGAGAGCGGCGTTAAACAATAAACAAAGAAACACATTTTTTTTTCGTCCCATGAGTTGGCTTTTGTAGAACATTGAGCATCGTTGTTGTCACCCTGTTCTGTATCGCGCATTTGTCCGTCATATGTTAACTTGAAAGACGGAGCACACTGGATATCTGACATTATTCCATCAAAGTCACAAAATTCAAAGACTTTATTTCTGTTCGCATGTCGACTGTGGCTAAACAATAGTCAACGACACTGGCATTCTTACACGTGAGTTCGCCAATACCTTTATCACTTACGATTCTACCACTGACTGTGTATACACATTATAAAATCTTGGAAACAAACCGGTCTAGTAACACCAGTATGCTTACATTTGTCAAGCAGGTTAGGTATGTTAAGTTTCCATCTTTGTTATCGTTTTACTTTTCTTGTTCTTTGAGGTACATAGAGCTAGATATAGAGGTATATATATATATATAATGAGGTCAAAAATGAGGTAAATGTTCACTCGGTGTACAAGTGCATATATAATAAAATAATAAAGTCCACGTTAGTCATATTATATGTCATTGTCAGTTACAATGAAGAGCTGTCATGAGACAGCGAAAGTACTATGTCTGAAACTGATATAAAGAAGATGTTGGACTAGCGTGGACTTTATTATTTTATTACATATATATATATATTTTTATTATATATATATATATATATATATATATATATATATATATATATATATATATATATATATATAATTAAATAAGTGGAGTAAGATTGAACACAGTTTTAATAGGCTAGCGCTTTCAACTGAATATGAACAGTTATGGCCTGATGAGACTCGTACGTGGTACGAGTTGAAAGCGCTAGCCTATTAAAACTGTGTTCAATCTTACTCCACTTATTTAATTATTACTATATTGTGCCTGAGAGTTAGAACTTAACTGTGCTTTTCTTATATATATATATATATATATATATATGTATATGTATATATATATGTATATATATATGTATATATATATATATATATATATAATATGTAATAAAATAATAAAGTCCACGTTATGTTCTCCGCTTCAAAGCGTTTATTCACTTGTGAAGGAGTAAGTATATACACCGAAACGTTACGTTCTCCGCTTCAAAGCGTTTATTCACTTGATGAAGGAGTAAGTATATGCACCGAAACGTTGTGTTCCTTATAATAGAGAAGTTGACATTCATAAATTCTCTTCCTTATGTGTATGACTTCTAAATGTCACCCATAGAGCAACAATGAGCAATCAATCAACGTATTATCGGCTAATCCTTTGAACAAATTATGTTGTTTTTATATCGGCACTTCACGCCCAGATATGGGTGTGTTCCTTCTGTTTTAGTAAACCTACTTATGTAAACACTTAATTTTGACAAATTCACTTTGCATAATAACAGTGATTAATCAATCAACATTGATTAATCCTTTGATGGGAGTTTTTTTGTTTTTTTAAATCAGGTGATCATTCCTCTCATGCTTCGCTGTACCGGGCGTGCATATAACATAAAATACATCTTACCCCACTTCAAACCTGGATTTAGATTGAATAATTACCCCCAGGAAAGGCCAAATGGGAATCTGTCAGGTATTCTGAGTGGAGCTACCACTAATTATACCTGCAATAAATTCACAACTGACCACTTGCGTTTGTTTCTGGTGTTTCATATAGGTGTCAAATCTTATTGGTCAGTTGAGATAGCACACGCCACAGCTATTTTCATGAGTCCACAGTTCTTGAAATAAATCCATTGCGTTATATGACAATGAGCAATCAATCAACGTATTTACGGCTAATCCTTTGAACAAAGTATGTTGTTTTTTTATCGGCACTTCATGCCCAGATATGGGTGTGTTCCTTCTGATAAAGTAAACCTACACATATACACACAAACATGTACTTTAGATACAGATACTGTGCTAAAAACAGTGATTAACCAATCAACATATTTTCGGTTAATCCTTTGATGGATCTTTTTGGTAAGTCAACTGATCATTCCTCTCTTGCTACGAGGGGCGGTCGGGTAGCCTAGTGGTTAAGGCGTCCTCTCGTCACGCCGAAGACCCGGGTCGTAGCAAGAGTGAGTGAGTGAGTATGGTTTTACGCCGCTTTTAGCAATATTCCAGCAATATCACGGCGGGGGACACCAGAAATGGGCTTCACACATTGTACCCATGTCGGGAATCGAACCCGGGTCTTCGGCGTGACGAGCGAACGCTTTAACCACAAGGCTACCCCACCGCCCCTGCATGATAAGAAGGGACTAATAATTGTTGTGTTGTATGCTATTTGGTAGTCTGAAAAATAAGGGTCCTTGCTTTTTTATGTATATCATTATCATATGCAGTGGCATAATGAGGTTTTATTAATGGACTCAAATAAATCAAATATTTATTCATAATATTACAGATTAAATATCAAGCTATAATATATGTTTGTGTGTTGTTTAACGCCGCACTCAGCAGTATTCCAGCTATATGACGGCGGTCTGTTGGTAATCGAATCCGGACCAGACAATCAAGTGATTGACATCATGAGGATCGATCTACGCAATTGGCGTAGATGGTATGCATGAACTAAGTCAGCGAGCCTGACCATCCGATCCCGTTAGTCGCCTCTCATCACTGGAGTGTCTGGTCCAGACTCGATTATTTACAGACCGCCGTCATATAGCTGGGATGTTGCTGAGTGCGGCGTAAAACAACAAACCACCCAACCAACCACAGGACCAATAAAGAAGTTAAGAGTGGCACCACAAAACGCGCAATCGTGCCATCTCACCATCTATGACTTTATAAAACCATGATGACTTGGGAACAGTCAAGCAGTGAGGTAAATACGGCTCAAGTTATCGGAAACAGGCGTGAACCAGATAGGACATAGCAATACATAGCTGTGGATCAAGGTTTGAGACGACAGAAAGATAGATAGAAACTTTGAAATTACTTCCATGGTGACCCCTGAAGATCCGGGGTAGAATAGGTCTTCAGCAACCCATGCTTGCCGTAAAAGGCGACTATGCTTGTCGTAAAAGGCGACTAACGGGATCGGGTGGTCAGGCTCGCTGACTTGGTTGATACATGTCATCGATCCCAAATGCGTGGATCGATGCTCATGATAATAATCACTGGATTGTCTGGTCCAGACTCGATTATTTACAGACCGCCGTCATATGGCTGGAATATTGCTGAGTGCGGCGTTAAACAACAACAAACAAACAAACAAACCGCCATGGAGTACACGGGTCCGTTGCTAACTTGCTGGGCGTGTGGGACAAAACTCTCTTTAAATGAAAAGTGTACTCCTACGAACTTCCAGATCCAGATGCGAAAACATCCAAACAGTATCTTTTGACTCCCATGTGTTGATTATATCACGTCCTATTTTATGTTGTTTTTCAATAAACGTATTCAATAAAACAGTGCTGTCACGCTATCTTTTTTTTATCTTTACACCAAACTAGATAAATGGTGAACTGTCCTGTTTTGAGGTTGTTAGTCTCCATGTGTGATCCCTCGGAAGTGCTTCAATATTCAGTGCAGATCGGTCGAACACTGTTTTCTATTCTTAAACATATATATGGTCGACCGAACACAATGACACCGGTGTCACGCTCCTGCTATAAACCCTCACTATAAAATCTCCTTGACCCTTTTGACCACAAGCAGAGCGGTCATTGCTCGGCGGTCAGGGTCAACGAGATTTAACATGTCCAGTGACATAACACGGACTAGTGGCGGTGTGAATTACTTACTGCCTTTGACAGAAAGACTGTGAATAAAACAGCGCCAGACTGTACATACGTGTGCACTGTGACTTATTTGTTCCTAGTACTGCGTAACATGTATGTTTACCGGATTAAACGTAATAAGAAATAGGTTGTGTGTATGTAGGATATTAAAGGTCCATTAAATTTTTTTGCTGATATAAATTGCCGGACAAACAAAAGTTTACATCAATGTTTGATGGTGGCTTAAGATTCAACAAACAAGAGGTGTTATTCGATGGTGATGTATTTGATAAGGGTATCAAAGTTTCGCTTTTGTACCAGGTAGGATTAACACCTTGGGTTCATGTTAGGACGACCCCGGGCCCTCTGCGTGTCGGGGGAACGCTTTACCCACAGGCTTTTGAGACAATATTTGTCAACAGTCTTCCCGTAGTCGTCACTGTCTTAAAACACATAATACATAATATACATCATTCTATTGTTTGACCGCTCCATTATGTTTCAGGAATGGTGATTTATTTGTCAACCCTCCATTATCTTGAAGCAACATTTGCAATTTGAAGTAATTTCCACTTGGAATTGACGGAGCTATGTTTTATATATATATATATATATATATATATATATATATATATATATATATATATATATATAAGTGTGTGTGTGTGTGTGTGTGTGTGTGTGTGTGCGTGCGTGCGTGCGTGCGTGCGTGCGTGCGTGCGTGTGTGAGAGAGAGAGAGAGAGAGAGAGAGAGAGAGAGAGAGAGAGAGAGAGAGAGAGAGAGAGACTCGGACATTCCTCTCCACATCGAACACGTAACGCCAAAGGCCCGCATCGGGTCAGATCTTCGCTTTAAGGGGACAATACGTTAAATGATTCTATTCTCCACTGACGATAATCACAGTTTGCCATCTCAGGTGGTAGTAGTGGTGGTTGTCGGTGGTCGGGGAATTATCAATATTATCGCTTCGTTCAACACGGAGGTTCATAATTATTTAAATGCTCGGCCACGCATCGCTTTGTGGAAAAAGCTATCTTGATCAGTCTTGTCAATATGTAAACGATATGGAAACCACTCTTATCTGTCTCTCGCTCTCTCCTGGCAGGGAAACAGCAGGCAGTCTTCGGCGACCCTCACCGACCTGTGAAACAGGTCACAGAAACCTGTTTCAGCTGTACAGCCATTCAGAAGCAGTGCAGCCATTCAGAAGCAGTTCGGCATTGTTATGCAAACTCCACACAGGGGAAGGTGCGTGTAGCGGCATGAGAGGAGCTCGTGCGCATTGCTCTGCGTGAAGTAAAGCGAACATCGCGTGCAGCGAGTGTTACATTCGCAGGGTCACGTGGCCTTTAAGTCAAGGCCTAAGTTCAAGTTCCGTTCACAGAAGAGGGACAGGGCACAGCTATCTTAGCCGTCAGATGGACGCTGCTTGACCAAGACTTGATAACGAACCTGTTGATGACAAAGTTTGCGGTTTCTAGTTTATGGATTAGCGGTGATTAAGGAATTGATATAATGGCTAACAGCTTCGAAGACTTCTGTGGAGGAACGTTTTGGGTGAGTAGAGACAATAAGTATAATATTCCTTTCCTTTATCAAGTATGTTCGTTTGTGTTTACCGCCGCACTCAGCAATATTCCAGCTATATGACGGCGGTCTGTAAATAATCCAATCCTAACCAGACAATCCGTTGATTGACATCATGAGCATCGATCTACGCAATTGGGATACGGTGACATGCATCAACCAAGTCAGCGAGCCTGACCACCCGATCCCGTTAGTCGCCTCTTATCATGTAGAAAGTACTTTTTTGACAAATACGACAAAATAATGACTATTCGGGCATACAAAATCAAACAAAATCGTTTAAGATGATACCGTAAAGCGATTTTGTTTTTTGTCGATGCATTCGGTATTTTAGAATTTGAATACTAATTTGACCTGGTCTTATTGCTTGACAGATGATGGGTCATTTGTTCGTTATTTGATGCGTGTATCATCACCAACAGGAATACAAAAAAAAAAAAAAAATACATTCTCTCTTAATTGATGATTACATAACAATATGTTAGGTGGAAGTGACCGGTGATCGACGGTATTGTTAGTGTTATTTTTCTTGTATTTTTGTCGGATGAGATTTGAGGTGAGGTGAAATGGGGTGTAACTAATATTGCTACGTGCATGCATATATGCGTGTGGGGTAGGGCTGGGACGGGTGACTCGGGTCCTCGGGTCGGGTGGGTCCTGAGTAGGACCCGGGTACCCACAGTACTACCCGGACCCGTGGTTAGTCACGTGATATATTGTTTAATAGCAAAACTTATCTAGAACTTCCACGGTTACACTATAAGTGACTAATGTTCGCATTTCTTTCTGACTATGCACGCATTCCTTCTGACAATAAGTTTGAATAGAGATAAAACTTCAGTCAACTTCAGTGTATGCATGACCAGATCGTTTTGTTTGAGTATGTGAATACATTTTTGCGAGGGCTACGGTCAAACTATCCCCAATCGGACATTTAAGACCAACAGTTGGTACCCGGGTAGGGTCGGGTAATAGTGGGGTGGGTACCCGGGTGGTAAATTTGGACTTGTCCCAGCCCTTGTGTGGGGCTCCTTGCTCTAATCCGGATTAATTGTTTTCTGTTTGATGTTGGAGAACTGAGATACCATGCCGCATTTTAACAGACACAAATTGTTTATTTGAGTCTCACCTCACAAAAGTATTTACATAGATACATTTAACAGTACATACAAGTGATCCACCCTTTAAGGGTCACGAGAGACTTTAAATATATCCCAGTATATACAGCATAAGTATATGAGTGTAAAAGTATATATAAAATATACTAACCGTCACATATGAAATGTTTTCTTCGTTGGAGAATAAAAAAACAGGTTTTGGCTGTTAACTATACATAATTTTTAAAAAGTAAAATACGTTTGTCAGTATTAGATAACTCTAGGATGTTGGCTAAAACTGACATTTTTCTTATAAACTTATACGCAAATCATCGTACACAGGGCAATCCAGCAATGCATGATATTCATCCACAATACTTTCCTTACGCTGGAAACATCTGCCTGTTTCCACTTAAGAGGAGCAGTACCTGATCTAAATTTGAAACGACAGAGCGGTAAGAACGAGGCATGTGCATACTTACATACCTTTCACACCCTTGCACACCCTTGCACACCCTTGCACATCTTTAAACATTCTATACGTACGTAATTTATAACCACCCGTTCTTCCGCCAGGCTTGCATAACAGTTCATTCAAATCATGAATATCTCACTCAGACACAGAAGACTAACGCGTGAAGATCCGGATCAGAATATCCTTCAGCAACCAATGCTTGCCGTAAAAAGCGACTATGCTTGTCGTCAAAGGCGACTTAGGGGATCGGGTGGTCAGGCTCGCTGACTTGGTTGGTGCACGTCATCGATCCCAATTGCGTGGATCGATGCCCATGATATCTATCACTGGATTGTCTGCTCCAGACTCGATTATTTACAGACCGCCGTCATAAATAACTGGAATATTGCTGAGTGCGGCGTTAAACAACAAACAAACACACACAGTAGACAACTCCGAGGCCACCAGTCCTTGTATTAGCTCCTTTAGGCCGCACGCCAGGCAGGAACTATCCACGAACCGTCTTTAAGCTAGCCTTGCTCCAAGGCTGTACTGAAACATAAATCCATGGATGTGTAGGAATTCTATTTATCCTAATAGGCAAATCGAGATATGTGGACTTCAGTCTCTTATAGCAACAGCTTTTTCGTATTATTTACATCATCTAGAAATTATGATTTAAATTAATAAGCATTGCCTGTGCAAGTCTATTTGTAAGCGTAAGAAGTTATTTAAGAAAACTTATTCTGTTACGAATCATTCAACGTGAATGAGGGTTTTATTGGTCAAGCCAGCTAGGACATCGCCAGTGCTCTCAACACTTTGCACCATACGTGGAGTCCTTCCCTGACCCTTAATGTCACAAGAGAACTATTTAACCACTTCACTTTGGAGGTGAGGTGAAATGGGGTCTAACGTCGCGTCCAAGATTATTGCACTTTAATAGCGCGTGTGTGAGGGGAGACGGGGGGCTGCTTGTACTAGTCCGGACTAAGTCGATTTAAAGTGCTAGCCCACTGAGATACCATGCCGCAGTTTAACATGAATACCCCACTCAGACACAGTATACTGACCCGAGCCGACCTGCCCTTGTTTTAGCCCCTTAATGCCTTAAAGTAGGGCATTAACAAGTACCGTCATTTGGTGTGACGCTACCGGAGATCAAACCCCAAAACTCAAAACTTCCCCACTTTGGAAATATCTACGTATGTCTATGGTCACTTTGAATGACCCCTCCAAATTATGAGGGTCATTTGGTCTCTTAGAATGGCTGTGAAAAAAAACGTTATTAAAAATGGAAAGCAGGTTTTGAGGAGGCACTCGGAGAACCAAATATATCCACTCAAGGTGAGGTGAGGTAAAATTGGGTTTAACGTCGCGTCCGAGGTTATTGCAGTTATATAGCGACGTGCATGCAAGTGTGTGTGTGTGTGGCTGCTTGTACTAGTCTGGACTGATGCTGATTTATAGTGCTAGCTCACTGAAATACCATGCCGCAGTTTAACATGAATACCCCACTCAGACACAGTATACTGACTCCGAGCCGACCAGTCCTTGTTTTAGCCCCTTAATGCCGAGCGCCAGACAGGGTAACAACAAGTACCATCTTTTAACGTCTTTTGGTATGACGCGGCCGGGGATCGAACCCCGGACCTTCCGCTCTCCGGGCGGACGCTCTACCACTAGACCACGGAGGCGGTCATATCCACTCAAGACGATACAAGTTTAAAACTGTGACACTTGCAGTGAACGTTTGAGACATGCATGACTTCGGGCTTCCTTTGTTTGTTTGTTTGTTGTTTAACGCCGCACTCAGCAATATTCCAGCTCTATGACGGCGGTCTGTAAATTATCGAGTCTGGACCAGACAATACAGTGATTGACAACAGAAGCATCGACCCACGCAATTGGGATACGATGACATGCATCAACCAAGTCAGCGAGCCTGACCACCCGATCCCGTTAGTCGCCTCTTACGACAAGCATAGTCGCCTCCTACGACAAGCATAGTCGCCTCCTACGACAAGCATGGGTTGCTGAAGACCTATTCTACCCCGGATCTTCACGAGTCTCTTCGGGCTTCCTACCAAATAAGGCTGACCCAACATGACATAACTGGAAAACTGTTAAAAGTGGCGTCAAACGTGGTGGCAGGTGCCCAAATGCACAGGGCACAGGTGAAGTAAAGCCGTGTCGATTCGAGCTAGAAGAGGTCTTCATGCAGCAACCCATGCTTATCAAACGAGGCGACTGTGCTGGGTGTAAAAACGGCGACTAACGGAATCGGGTGGTCAAGGCTTGCTGACTTGGCTGATGCATGTCATCGTATCCCCACTGCGTATCCTCCCACATTAAGCTGACACTCCGTTATGTAACTGAGAAAGTGTTCAAAGGCGCGTTAAATCCAACTCACTCACTCACTCACTCACTCACTCACTCACTCACTCACTCACTCACTCACTCACTCACTCACTCACTCACTCACACTCACTCACTCACTCACTCACTCTCACTCACTCACTCACTCACTCACTCTGTGGAAGCCAGTTTTGGATGATGGATGTATATATGTCCCCGGGGTATTCATGATCAAACGTCCCATTCCCGGGTACTTTAAACAGGATGAGGATAATCGATGTATTGTGCTTCAGTCAACCGTCATACGGGCAGCAGTAACAACCAGGTTATTCTTTTCAGCATTTTTTTATGACAAAGAAACGTGTTCTACAGGTTTTCGTAATGCATGAGAAGAGTGAACTCAGACAAGGGCCTTTGAGAGTTGTGTTTATCAAGATTCGGGATTCAGGAGTCAGCAAATGATGCTCAAATCAAAACTTATTCGGGATTCAGGAGAGGCTGGGGGCTGGATGGAATGTCCTCCTTATACAGTGATGTCTTTGACCCGTGAAGATCAGGGTAGAGAATAGGTCTTCAACAACCATGCTTTCCGTAAAAGGCGACTATGCTTGTCCAATGAGGCGACTATCCTTGTCCAATGAGGCGACTATCCTTGTCCAATGAGGCAACTATCCTTGTCCAATGAGGCGACTATCCTTGTCCAATGAGGCGACTATCGGGTGATCCAGACTCGGTTATTTACAGGCCGCCGTCATATTGCTGGAATATTGCTGAATGCGGCGTTAAACAACAACCAACCAAACAAACCACTCAATTCAAGTAGTAGTGTACCTCACAAGTGATACGCGAAGATCCGGGTTGAGAATAGATCCACAGCATCCCAAGCTTGCCATAACAGGCGACTACTATGCCTGTCGTAAGAGGCGACTTACCGAATCGGGTGGCCTGGCTCGCTGACTTGGCTGATGCATGTCATCGTATCCCAATTGAACAGATCGGTGCTCATGGTGTCAATCACTGGATTGTCTGGTCCAGATTCGATGATCTTCAGCAACCTATGC